GATGGCGGTATTAATGACAAAACTTTACGCCGCTTCTAACGCCATCTATCGCACCTCCGCACGAACTTTTGCACTCACCCAATAAATCCAAGGCGAAACAAATAAAACGGCAAGTTTTGACAAACAAAGAATCTAGCATTATTAAAAAGAAAAACTATGAAAATAGTAATGGATTCAGAATCAAATAAAAATAATGATATCTTGAATTCCAGATCTTCTCATCTAGAAGAGTTCGAAGAAGATACAAATGACCAAGATGATGAAATGCTAATACTAACTGAGAACTTCGGGCTATTATCACGAAAGCTTTTAGAAGAAGCCAATATCCTGATGTTAAGAATAAAAAATTAAAAATTTTTTATCTTGCTAAAATATTAGGTTGGGGAAAAAAATCCATTATTTTTACGTGAACTTCAAGACTTTATTTAACATGTTTCGGATTGTCCGATTTGTGTCAAATATGCACCGTTTTGTTTTATAATTTGTTGCCATTTTAAAGGTAGCTTCATAATGCCTCTCTCATAGAAGCCTTGGTTCCCATTGGCAAAAAACTCTAGTAATCGATTTTCACAATCTTCTCTTGATGCCAATTTCTTATCACTAATGAAGTTTTGCAATGCAAGAAAAACATGGTAATCGCTTGGTGCCGGACTATATGGTAAATGCATTAAAACTTCCCAACCAAGCTCCCGGAGTTTCTGACAAGTCACTATAGACATGTGTGTTGTCCTGATGAAACACAACACCTCTTCTGTTAGCCAATTCTGGCCGTTTCTGGTCAATCGCTAGCTTCAAACGGTCCAGTTGTTGGCAGTAGAGATCCGAATTTAGTGTTTGGCTATATGGAAGCAACTCATAATAAATTATTATTTCCAGTCCCTTTCCAGTCCCACCAAATGCACAGCAGAACCTTCCTGGCCGTTAGTCCTGGTTTGGCCACCGTTTGAGCTGCTTCACCGCGCTTTGACCACGATCGTTTTTGCACAGTGTTGTCGTATGTGACCCATTTCTCATCCCCAGTCACCATCCGTTTAAGAAATGGGTCGATTTCGTTCCGTTTGGCCAAGGCTTCGCAGATAGAAATTCGATTCATTGTGTTTCTTTGTGTTAATTGGTGTGGCACCCAAACATCGAGCTTCTTTTTGAATCCAGCTTTGTGCAAATGATTTAAAAATGTTTTATGGTCGATCTTTAGCTCCTGGACGATGCTACAACTGCTAACATGCTGGTCGATTATTTCTGTGATTTTATCGACATTTTCGACGACGGGCCTACCTGTGCGAGGTGCACCTTTAACATCAAAAATACCTGAACGGAATCGACGAAACTAAAATTGCACGTAATTGGCTGTTACAGTATCGGCACCATAAACACCATTCACAATTACAGCCGCCTGGCTTGAATTTTCGCCTTTATCAAAGAAAAACTGTAAAATGTACCGAATTTTCTTTTTGTTGACTTCCATTTTTAACACCCTGTAACTCACAACTGAATGGACCAAACAAAAAACAACAAAAGAATTTTTTTATTGCGAAATGTCACCTTTTCATCGAGCATAAATCTAAAATTGTTTGATAGATACTTTACGAGATATCGATCACTACAACCATCTACCGAAAAAATAATTTCTTTTTCCCCAACCTAATATTAGAAGTTATCAATTCAGAGAAATATTTTGCATCTTACTTAAAATTACAACTAAAAGAAAACATACATTTCTCTGTGTTTTTGAAATCTGATTTAGCAACTGTAAGAATAGAAGACATTAAATTAATTCTTGACATACTTCCTCCACAAGTTAATGTAACCAATAATCAAAATATGACATCATTTTCCCATTGATATGAGTGCAATTAGTTTACGTTAGAGCATATCCTATATTTAAGCTATTTTAAGCTTTATCTATTTTGTTCATATTCGCATATGAATTTAAATTTCGTTATTATATCTAACAATTATTATTGTTTTCAGTTTATTTTTGTTTTGTTTTAGTTGGTTATTAAATCATATTCTGATGATTAAACTTAAGTTGATAATTAAACAAAGTAGAAATAGAATATAAGTTAAAACACTATGGGTTTTATTACTCGAAGTTATGCTGATAATTATTATGAAAGCTGTTAATACAGCCAAAAAAGTTAAATTTATGTTGATATATTAGTTTTTTTACTACTTGTTATATGTCTAATTAATAATAATTTTATTAAGTATACAAATGATTAATCCTAATGTTTTCAGCTGTTAAGAAATTAATTTGAAAATCAAATGATTTTCCCGTTTTTTACGGTTATGTAATGTTGACATATAGCTATTAAAAATGACTTTTGGTATGGCGAAAGACCTAATCTTCAAAAGTATTCAAATCAGTGAAATCAAACATGGCAACATATAAGGTGAATATTTAGCACAGTATTCTTTATAAATTCCAACAAGAAAAAAATGCTCCAAGAGCATGTAAATCGATTTATTTCCTTTATTAGTAAAGATGTTTTGTACGATATGTGCGCATTTTGGTGTAAGCGTTTTAAAAACAGTGATTTTAGTCCGATCGACAAACAATGTCTTGGAAGGCCTCGAAAGTGGGACAACGGTGATTTGGAACAACTGCTTGCTGAAAATTCGGCACAAACGCAAAAGGAGCTTGCAGAGCAGTTGGGAGTACCGCAGTAAAACGTTTTTAAACGTCTACGTAAAATGGGTAAAATCCAAAAGAAGGACAATGGATCCCGCATGAATTCAGTATAGCCAACGAAACTCAACAAGTGGGAGCGTGTCTTTCTTTTCTCAATAAGAAGCGTCGAAATTTTTCTAGTGGAATATCGTTACGGACGATGAGAAATGGACACTCTATGACAATTCCAAACGTACAAAGTTATGGGCAAATCCCGGCGAACCATCAACATTGGTCACAAAGCTCAATCGCTTCGAAAGGAGGTTCTGCTCTGCATTTAGTGGGATATCAAGGGCATGCACTATTATGAACAGTTGGAACCGGTAAAACAGTTACTGCGGACTGCTACCAACGCTAATTAATCCGCTTGTGTAAAGAATTTAAACAGAAACGCCCGTATATTGGCAGAAAACGTCCTGTGAAATTGTTGCATAACAACGCCAGGCACATTGCCTCCAAGCAAAAGACATCATAATAAATTTTGGCTGAGATGTCTTGCAGCATCCGACGTATTCACCAGACATTGCTCCATCCGATTATCACTTGTTCCACTCGATGCAATATGCCTTGTCCGATACTTACTTCTAATCAATGAATGAGATCCGAAAATGGCTTGACGACTTTATCCTATCCAAAGACATAGCATTATTCCGAGATGGAATTGATCAACTGCCTGAAAGATGGCTTAAAGTTATAGAAAGTAACGGCGAATGCTTTGATTGAAAAATTTGTTTTATTTTCTTTTAAAATAAATTTCTAATATATTAGAATAACTTCTAATATGTTATATATAACTGAAAAATTTGGATTATTCATTTGTACACGTAATAATTAAAAACTTCAATTTTGTAGACTTCAAATAATAAAAACATAATTTGGCTTAAAACTCATTCTATTTTAAACTTATCTATCATATCTTATACTTTTATCTTCAAATTAAAAACATTGTAAAATATTCAAAACATAATAAAACTAAATTAATCGTAACAATTCAATATGTGGTTCATTATTGAAAATAGCTAGGTTTATCGCGTACACACTTATAAAAAATTATAGAAAAAAGGAATTTGTTGTTCTCTGGGTACCCAGGATGTAATAAAACTACGTATATTACGTAAAGACGGATAGGATGATAGACGCGTTGGGAAACATATGGCGCGTTTAACAACGAGCCATCGTAATCTTGTCCTTTTTACAACAGCGCTTGCCCGAAATCCGTCTGCTTCCCAATTACATAAAAAAAAAGGAATTCGTAGTTTCCGAGATACCCAGGAAGTAATACTTTATTCAGATAAATCAAGAAAAAACATAAAGCTAAAGAAGAATGGATAACTTCCCCTGTAATTATGGGATGCAGACTATGGAACAAAATTTTTAGTGAAGATCAAAAAGAGCTATTTATAAAATACATATTGAGAGCTTCCGAAATATATTATGGATTTTGTCCCAAAGAAATGCGGAGATTTGCATATGAGCTTGCAGAATAACATAAATTGCTTATATATCAGTGGGTACAATATATTGGGTTACCCGAAAAGTAATTGCCGATGGCTCCAATAGATGGCTTTAAGCGTCTGTTTGAATGTCTTCTGTCAATGTTATGATTTTTTTTCTTTTGACGTTTGTAAGCTGTCACTCTTAGTTGACTTTAAAAGCAAATTACACGTGTTTTTATTAAAAATTGTTAGTTTGGCGTCAGTTTTAGTGTGGAATCCAATAACAAGCATTTTCGTCATATTTTCCTTTTTTATTTCCGCAAAGGAAAAAACACAGCGCAGGGTGCTAAAATGTTACGTGACGTATATGGCGAGGAAGCCTTAAAAGAAAGACAGTGCCGCAATTGGTTTGATAAGTTCCGTTCTGGAGATTTTTTACTCAAAGATGAGCAACGTTCTGGTCGTCCATTGCAAGCTGATGATGACCAAATCAAAACCATAATCGAGTTGGATCGTCATATATTTGAGCGGGAGATTGGAGAAAAGTTGAAAGTACCAAAATAAACAATCCAGGATCATATAAAACGTCTTGGATTCGTTAAAAAGCTTGATATTTGGGTACCACATGAATTGAAAGAAATTCATTTAACAAAGCGTATCAATGCTTGCGATTCTCATCTCAAACGCAATGAATTCGATCCTTTTTTGAAGCGAATAATTACTGGTGATGAAAAATGGATTGTTTACGATAATATTAAGCGAAAACGTTCATGGTCCAAACGTGATGAGCCACCACAAACCACCTCGAAAGCTGATATTCACCAAAAAAAGATTTTGTTATCAATTTGGTGGGATTGGAAGGGTATGGTATTTTTTTATCTCCTTCCAAGGAACCGAACCATCAATACGGATGTCTACTGTCAGCAACTGGACAAACTGAATGCAGCGATTAAAGAAAAACGGCCAGAATTGGTCAATCGTAAGGGCGTCATCTTCCACCAGGACAACTCTAGGCCACACACATCTTTTGTCACTCGCCAAAAATTAATGGAGCTTGGTTGGAAATTGATGTTACATCCACCATATAGCCCTGACATTACGCCGTCAGATTACTATTTATTTCAATCCTTGCAGAACTACTTGGATGGTAAAACTTTTAAGGATGATAAAGCTTTGAAATCGCACTTAGATCAATTTTTTGCCGATAAAAACCAGAAGTTCTACGAGCGTGGAATTATGAAGTTGCCAGAAAGATGGCAAAAGGTCATCGAACAAAATGGAAAATATGTCAGTGATTAAAGTTCATTCTATGTAGAAAAAAATTGTATTTTATTTCTATGAAAAAATCGGCAATTACTTTTCGGGCAACCCGATAAAATGGTTGGTGAAGATTGGTGTTCTGCTTTTATGAGAAGATACCTATATTTGTTTATACGATCTACATAGGCAAACAGTCTATCTCGCTCTACAAGTCTCAATGAAACAAATATAAATTACATTTTTATATAATTTAATTTAATATATTTTTATATAATTTAATTTTATTTAATATATTTTTAGACAATTTAAAGAAGGTTCTAGATAAATATAGATATGAACTGAAAGACATCTATAATGTTGACGAAACAGGCATTACAACGATTCAGAAATCCAATAAAATAATTGCTAATAGAGGAACTAAACAAGTTGAAGCATTAACATCTGCCGAAAGAGAAAACTTGGTCACTGTGACTTGTGCCATTAATGCCATCGGTAATTCTATACCCCCTATGTTTAAATTTCCGAGACTTCGATATCAGAAATATTTTGTAAGAGATAGTCCATCTGTATGCATTGGAACTGGAAACGCTAGTGGATGGATGCATGAAAAGAGTTTGTTATATTTTGCAAACACTTTCAAAAATACACATTTGCAACGGAAGGGAAGAAAGTTTTCTTACTTTTAGATAATCATTCCTCTCGTACTTTGACTGAAGCACTTAATTGTTATTCCAAGAATCGCATAGTAATGTTATCTTTCCTACCTTACTGTTCACATAAGTTACAACCATTAGATCGATCAGTATATGGACCACTAAAAAGAGCAATTAATAACTTATATGATGCTTAGATGCTTAACAATCCTGAAAAGATTATGACTGTATATCAGATTCTTTTAATAGTTGTAACAACTTTACCGGCATCAATAACTATACCAGGTGTACCGGTATGAAGTGAGCGTCAAAATACAAATGTCTCGATAGGGAACATTTATTTTGAACGGGCCTTAATTTTGTTTTGTTTGGTTTCTATGACATCTATCAAACATATTCAGTTTACATCAAGTTATTGAACAAACAACATCATATTTTTTCATCGTGTTAAAAATGTCGAATTTTGTACCAGAAAATGATGATTTGCGGAAAGCATTAATTTTTTGTTTTCATTTGAAGAAAAGTGCTGCAGAGTCGCATCAAATGCTTGTCGAGGCATATGGTGATCATGCTCTATCAGAAGCAACATGCAAAAGATGGTTTCAACGGTTCAGAGATAATGATTTTGATGTGAGAAATAAAGAACGTGGAAAACCACCAAAAAAGTTTGAAGACACCGAATTGCAAACAATATTGGATGAAGATGACACTTTGAGTCAGACACAAATGGCAGAAATGTTAAATGTTGCACAACAAACAATTTCTGACCGTTTAAAAGCTATGGGAAAGATCCAAAAGTCTGGAAAATGGGTGCCACATGAATTGAATGAAAGACAGATGGAAAACAGAAGAAACACTTGTGAAATTTTGCTTCAAAGACACGATAGAAAATCAGTTTTGCATCGAATTGTTACTGGCGATGAAAAATGGATTTATTTTAAGAATCCTAAACGGAAAAGATCATGGGTTAATCCGGGACAACCATCAACTTCGACTGCAAAACCAGATCGATTCGGCAAGAAGACAATGCTGTGTGTCTGGTGGGACCAGAAAGGTGTGGTGTACCACGAGCTCCTAAAACCTGGTGAAACCGTCAATACAGATCGCTACCGACAACAAATGAGCAATTTGAACTATGCATTGATCGAAAAACGACCAGAATGGGCCAGAAGACACGGCAAGGTAATTTTGCTCCATGACAATGCACCTGCACACAAAGCAAAACTGGTTCAGGATACGATCAAAGCACTCGGCTGGGAGCTGCTACCCCACCCGCCGTATTCACCAGACTTGGCTCCTTCCGACTACCATTTGTTTTCATCGATGGGACACGCATTGGCTGAGCAGCACTTCGATTCCTACGAGGAAGTCCAAAATTGGGTGACTAATTGGTTTGCTTCAAAAGACGAACAGTTTTATTGGCGTGGAATCCACAAATTGCCTGAAAGATGGGAAAAATGTGTAACTAGCAATGGCCAATACTTTGAATAAAATGTTTTTTACTTTCCCATTAAAAAATAGTGTTTTGATTTCACAAAAAAACGCTCACTTCATACCGGTACACCTAGTAAATAACATTCAAGAAAGATTCAGACGCACAAGGATATTTCCTTATAACAGAAATATATTTACACTTCTGGATTTCGCTTCATCTTTTGTTACAGATAGGTCCCTAGCCTTAACGACTGATAAAAATAATGATCCACGAATAATGATGTCTACTATAACGGAAGAGAATATTGTGAGTAACGATGATCTCGAACGTCTACCGTCAACATCCCGTGGCTTAATCAATAATGAAACTCTAGACACATCAACAGCAATTCTATAAGCGGTAGAAATAAATATTAAAGAGTTCTTAACAAGGAACAATAAGATTTTTCCTAAAATCTTTGCTTCGAAAAGAATTTAAAGAAGGTAAGGAAAAAAAGAAATCGACTATATATCATGAAACTTAAGAGAAAGAAAAATCAGAGCCGATTATAAAGAGAAACAAATTGTAAAAAGAAGCAAAAAGACTATTTGAATTTGAAAGGAAAAGGTGATAAAAACAACAGCAAAAGCAGGAATAAAGAATATGTTGCCGATAAAAATAAAGACTATTATTGTATTTTGTGTCTAGATTCTTATAGTTCCAACAAGACGAAAAATGACGAATGAAAAATAGGTATTATGGATGAAATGTAAGAATTGGGCACACCAAGAGTATACCAAACGTCATCTGTATATTTGTCAAAATTATGAAAGCAAATAATTCATAATTACACATAATACACGTAATTAGTTTTAATTATTTTTGAATTTAATTTATATTAAGTTTTTTTATGAAAACAATGTTCATTATCTTTATCTTTGTTCAACATTATAATGTAATAAAAGTTCAATATAATAATTTAATAAAAGTTTAATAAATAATTTGATTTCTTTAAAAATAAAAGTGTATTACCACTGACTTAATGCTGTGTTACAACCGCTCCAGAGGGACAGTTGTAACATTTTCATGTTTGGTGCACTCTTCGCCGCTTTCCATTTTTTATTAATAACTTGCATATTACTTGACATCCAATAAAGTAGCGGTGTGCGAATAATGTCGGATAATTAAATAACATTTTCCTAGAAAGACATTTGTTCTAAATGTAATACTTTTTGAGTTATCGTGTTCTAAAGCCAAAATGTTACTATTGACCTTGGTTTCTCCTACATTTTCGCCATTGTACGCTTCACTATTTTCATCGCAATAAAACCACAGCTAAAGCAAATAGAATTATTTGTGAGACATATGGCAACAATGTTGCGGCTAAAAGAAAGTGACGAGATTAGTTTGCAAAATTTTACGTGACAAGAAGTTACTTCTCTGTATCTAGTGGGATAAACATGAAGTATTCTATTATAAGCTCTTTCCAGTGAATCAAACAGTTACAATAATACATTATATGAATCAATTATATCATTCTAATCAAGAACTTTGCAAGAAAAGACCGACATGTGCCTCAAAACAACGTTAAATCATTTTGCTCTACGGCAACACGCAGCCTCATATTGCTCGTGAGATCAAACAAACATTGTATGATCTAGAACAGTAAGTTCTTCCCCACTCAACGTACTCTCCAGAAATCGTGCTGTCTGATTATCACTTCCGATCAATGCATCACAGCCTCTGTGATACACATATCCGAAATGAAATAGATGTTAGAAAATTGATAGATGGTTTTATTGCGTCGAAAGACGAAACATTCTTTTGTCGCGACATTCATATGCTGCCCGAAAGATAGATAGGACAAAAGGTAGCAGATGCAAACAGCAAATATTTTGATTAAAGCAACTGCACTGTTTGCATTAATAAAACAATTTTGATGAAAAACTGTGGGAACTTAGTTATACATTAAAAGTAAGGCGAAAAAGTTAAGTGTCAATAACTAGAACAACTCAAAATTCTTTCACAGACTTCTTTTAACAAACAACGAGCAACGAACCTTCTGAAAGTTTATTCTAAACTGTCACCTTTATGATAGTCAAGCCCGATGGGGTGGCGAGACTCATAAAGATAGAATAATTTCAAAAGTTCAATTTCCAAACCTTACATAGAGATATTTGTTAATCTGCTAATGATCTATTATTTTAGTATAAAATAGATTCATTGATTTAGTAAAGCGAGAGATACGAACATTATTTTGACAAGATGGAACTTTAATTCATAATAAATGCGTGTTATCGATTCTAAATAATTACAATTTCCCACTAGTTCGACTTTTCAATTGTGAACGTGTCCATGATTTTATTTTATTTTTGTCAACGTTTTACTCCGATCTCATAACCAATATAAATGACAATATAGACGTGTAAAGAAAAAAATTCCACAGAAAATAAAAGTTAAATTAATAGATAAAATATTTCATGCCCCTTCTTTAAAACGTATACAAATATCTTTTTATAACTTGTTTTATTGATTACTACAAAAAAAGCGGTTTTTGGTGGAATAGAACTTCCAAACATTTACCAATATTTTCTCTTGAGATGCTATTACACGAAATTTTAATAGTCCTAAGGAAATTAATCGGTTATCATTACATGTGCCGAAGCTCAGAATAATGATCTCGAGTTAAACGTTGGGAATTTTGTTTTCTCGGCCTTGATTGTATCGTTTAAAATGATATAGGATGATAATTTCGAGATAATTTGCGGCCCACATCGGTCGGCCACGTATCGAATGCCGAAATTTATCGGAGGTGCGTTTCGTGATCAATAAATCTCGCGCGGCTTGGGCCGCGATTGCATTTACACGCTCGCAGAATAAAGTATTAGACGGATAGATTATTATGAATGAAATCACCAGAGAATGTTTGTGCGAGTATAGCCGGCGTGACGCTGTTAATAAATTGGTGAAATTACACAGATCGACATTAAACGTGCCACATAGATAAACGATTAATTGAATCCCTATCAAATGTCTCTAGCACGTCAGGTTCACTCGTAATGTTGTTTAAAAAATAGTCAAAATACGTTTTTTGGCTTGTTTGATCTCAATTTTCTGAAAAACCTGATGTGATGCGGAAATTTCGTCTCCGGATTCGAATTCAGCGACTAGAAATGTACGGGAAATGATATATCTTATCCATGTTACATGTTTAATGTCGACTTGTGTTATTATTCTCGCAAGGAAAAAAGTGAGGTAGAGTTCCAAGTGGCACGATATGGATGTTCGTGAGCTCTCAGATATGATAAAATGATTTCATGCCGAACGACTTAGATATGATAACCTTATAACAATGATTTCTTTTTTAATCTACATTTTTTAATTATTATATTCAAATGCATGCACAATGCAAATATTGCGGTTTGTCAATAAACGCAAATTTGGCGCATGCTAAACGCCGTTAATACGCGACGCACACGTAGTACATTACGTCGGAGACTATGGGTAGCTTAAAAGTATATTCGTAACTAGAATTAAAATAACCGAGTTTCTTCTCAAATGAGTCTCGTGGTTTAAATGCAATGATTACAAACAAGCGTACGTGTGAAGCACTGGTGGAAAATGCATATAAAGTATTTCTACAGCCTTTTCTCCCCCCTCTCTTTCTCTCACTCTCTCTCTCTCCCTACCTCCCTTCATCCCTCCCTCCCTCTCTCACTCCTTCCCTTACACCCACCTTCTCTATCCTTTCTCGTTTGCAGTAGTACGCTATTTTCATATAATTTGCAAGATGCAGAATGTTACAGTGCGGCCAAAGCTTTCGCATCGCCGTTATCATAAAATCAATTATGAGCATTTTCTATTATCTCTTCTTTCTTCCCTTCT